TATATACATTTATATATATATACATATATATATATATATATTAGCAAACATAGAAACTTTGCATTTGTTTCTTCTACAATATGTACTTGTTCAAATAAAAACATTCCTCACGCTGTTTTGCATGCTGCTTCGATCCCCATTGTGGTTTAGAGAAGCGCGGAACAATGTGAACTATGTCTACAATAGTGTCGGTCGAAACGACGCTACTGTATTGATGTCCATTCAACTTCTCCCATTTCAATTTCTTGCAACCTGTCATGTGTTGCCGTTCACTGCCGACCTCCTTGTACCATTGCACAAATTTGCAGCTGTGTTCCATATTACCACGGTCCGCGGGTGCATCCACGACAAAAAACATCGCTACTAATGCAAACCATGTGCATTCATTGCCTGCTCTAATTGCGACGTCACTGTGCACTGGTCTCTCATGGAACTGTGGCGACGCTCTTGCAGTTTGAACAAGTGTGCCCCTGTTTGTTCCGTCCTGTACGCAGGCGATGGCCAGGTGTGTCCGTATGTATATAAGTAGGTCGTAAGAAGGAGGTTGACAACCATTCTCCACCATGTATGTCGTAAGCGCAGCTCGACAATCGTGTCTGCAAGGAAGCTCTTTGAGTATCTTACACGCATGGTTGTCAATGTCTTCTCCCTCGCGTATGTACGTGTCATCGATGTCAAACCACCGCAGCTGCAGCATTGTCGTATCGCGTAGTGCGAGGGTGTTCATTCCGGTGGCCATACAGTCTGTCACGGACGACCGGTTCTCAACCGTTCTCTTCCTTCGTTTGCTCACGATCCCGATCTCTTCGCGCAACGCCAATGACCGGCGTACATGGTTTACCATCTGGGTTGAAGCTTTCCGCTTTTTTGATGACAGGTATGGCTGTTTGCAGAATTTCCTGTGGTGATGCTCCCAAACATCTGTCGCGAAGGTGTCGGGGATACCGGATCGCTCAATACACGTTGTCAGATGCATGAGATCGTGCAACTTGGGGAGTTCCCATGTTGATGGTTGATATTTTTTCAATTTTGCTTTGATGGTCGTTACGAAGTCCGTGATCAAAGCGTCGCATTCATCGAGCGAAGCACGAGTGTGTGTTGTACACCGAAACACTCGTACATTTCCATCAGTTTCACAAAACGAACGGTAATGCCCTTGCCTGTCGAGCGCGGGATAATACCAGAAATAAGGAGCACGCACACTGTCATCACAGACCGGTTTTGCTTCACCTGGAACCGTCTCTCCCTCGAAAAAAAGTTGTTGTCAGTGGCCACCGGCAGCACAAGTTGGGGGTATGTTCGCGTGCATCTCTCACTAACGCTTTGCAACCTTGCATCTAGTTCCTTCGGGATCTCTGTTTGCGGTAAGTGCGGCAACTTCTCAAAGGCTGCGATCCTGAATGCGTCAATCATGTGCAGGAATATGTCGTGCTCGATTGTGTGCATACGGTCTGGTTGCAATGCCAGGTGGTAGTCTAGCTGAGGATCGTCACCATTGGGGTCCCTGTAGAACCCCCAAAGGCCGTTCTGTTGAACATGCCTATGCATGTTCAATTCCGTCATTCGTGCTTCCGCTGCACGGCGAACGTCGATGTCATCGGCGATGAACACATTTGTTGTGAGGTGTGTTTCCAGCGTCTGTGATCTCCTGCAGTCTGTGAAATCGGCTATGACATCAAAATCGCTTTTGGACACGGTGCATGTTGGACATACACCAAACTTCACAGTTGCAATCGCACATCGTTCTAGGTAGTCCTGGATATAGTTGAGGAGGAAAGGGTGGACAGTTATGTCCCTGAATCGCGTTGTCGGTATCATTATTTCGTCATGAGATGCCTCCTTCGCAGACTGCAACACCACTGAAAGGGCCTTGTGCAAAATGATGGTCTTTCGATTTCTGAATGCGGTGGACTGCAGACCCCATCCTTTGTCACGTGGACGATGATGAAGCACCGGAAGATAGGCCAGCAGTGTGGCTTCGGATGCGTGGTCGGCTAGTGACATCATCAGAGGGTACGTCGTCTGTTTTTTATGACCGTTTGTATGTGTCTTGTCGGAATACAATAAAAGAGGGATAACATAACGTGGATTACCATTCGCGTTCACACCTTTGTCTGCTCGAATGATCGACTGGATGTGATAACTTAGCGCCCCGCTGCGTGGGCCGGATATATTGAGGTGCTCTGACGGCGGAGACACTTCTAGAGAAAACACCGTCTCGCATTTCTGTAATGTGATATGAAAAATCGACAGAAATGTCGTTCGAAAGTCGCAGTGCCACCAGATGGCGTAAGCATCCCGTGGCCAATCATCACAACGTAGATCCAACTTTTTCCATCCAGCAGCCTCTGCTAGACTTCCTGCCCATGTCAAACACTCTCAACTATTACGATACGCGATGTCTCTCGTGTTGAATCTCGGGTCTGTGAGAAGTGACAAGAGAGCATCTATGTCGCTCTACGACATACCGACGCTGCCCCTGGCGAAGAAAATCAGTGCCGCCAGCTTGCGAGAGCTGTCAAAAGACTCGACAAGTTGTGGTTGTTGCTCTTCGAATGTCCCGCCCTCCCCGTCTACATTCTCGGGGACCCCGACGTCCTCGCTCTCATCGCTCACGAGATTCACTGCACCTATACTTGATGGTCCGGCGTCATCGACCACACCCATCTCCTGCCCATGTGTTCTTTCGCCCACCATGGTCGGGCATACCCTCGCACGATGTGAGTTCAAAGTTCGTAATGACATGAAAGGTCTGTCACAGTCGCACACCCGTGGACCACTGTCCATTTTTTATGCACGCAGTGCATTCCAAAAACAAACAGAGTGGTGCGAACAGTGTTTTGATTAACATTTTGTACATTGGTTCATCTCGTTTGAATTATAAGTTGCAGAGCATATTTTGTTATATTGTGTAAGTGTCGCGTATCCTCTTCTCTGTGAGAAAGACATAGAGAGGGAGTACTGATTACCGTTTTTTGTACGAATGGTCTGTGTCGCTGATCCCAATTGACAAAGATTAGTAGTCAACCATGCGACACGATAATTTATATGCCATGACAGGTTCTATGGTTGTGTAGGAAGAGGCAATGACTTACGCATGGTACATGATAGATGACACAACATTCATCACCACGTTTGTGCGGGTGCCCAAGTTCGCAACTATCCATCCACGATGTTTGTGAATGTGGTATGTGTTTTCCATGTCCGCGTGAAAATGATTGCATATCGTCACCTCAGCCGACCTCCGCAACCACTTCCAAAACATTTCACAACCTAGTACATTTGAATTCAAATTACAGAGAATGGAAAAAAAAATATAATACACACACATTCGTCATCACAGGGGGTCTCACGTACTCCAAAAGGCAACAAATTATGACATACATCGTAACAATCATCAAATGATTGAAATATTGTTCAATCCTGTGTCTGCACGCTGTAGTGAACCGCATGTACTTGGAGAGGCAAACAACACGCAGCATTAAATGTAACCCGCAGATGGATGTACAGGTTCTAATATAGCTACAACTCGACATATGAGAGAGAGAGAGAGAGAGGTTCACTAGTGTGGGCCAGAACGATAACAAACAGCACCGGTGGACACTGATATGGCACGCATTAGTGAACCCGACCGTCGTTGAAATTGAGGCAGACATAGAGGGATGTACAGGTTGAGCTTCTCATGCGTATCAAAACGTACGTGCATTGGTTGTTTGTAGTACCACTCTATTGCTCTATGCTATGCATGTCTGTCATCATCCCTGATGTCTGACATGGTCTGTCGTGGTGTGTGGGTGTCTCCGATCGCTGCCGTGGCCGAGCACTAACTATTGCGTCTCCTGTTGACAAGCCGGGTTGCAATGTCTCTCCCCAAGCTGTCGTCATTGCGCCGTGTATGAGGCAATTCAAGTTGACTCCCCATGTCAGTGACGTTGCTAGCACAACCTTTCTATTGACCAAAACAAACCATCCCTTGCCAACACGTGTCCACTTTTTCCCCTTGTTGCATGATTTCATTACAACGGCATACTGTAGTGCACCATCTGGTGTTGCCCCCTTCATCACAACACGCAGCACTTTGTGCGGATCGAGAAAAGCATGTGCCAACCTCAGAATTGCATGTGCCCACCCTTTTGTCACTTGTCCACCCGCCCCCTTCAAATCATAGTATACATCATGTTCCTCGTCTTCCTCGTCGCTGTTGGCATCGCCGCCGCTCACTTCCACGTCAGAAGATGATGCCCCCTCATCCTCTTCTTCATCTTCTTCTTCTGCACTGTCTGTGTACTCTGCACAACAACTTGGCAAATCGGCCTCTTCAAATCCACGATCACACTGTTCTTTCTCCATTGTGAAAGCATTGAAGATATCGGAACACACTACCTCCTTTCTCGTTGCTGTCTGCTTGGGAGGCACATCGACTGCCATACTGGTTATTGATTCTTGTGCTGCTGATGTCTGTCCGTTGTCTGGAATGATTGCAAAACTTGTTTCTGTGGCCATCACCTTCCACCCTTCTTCTCTTTCTCTTTGTCTCTCAACATCGCAACTTGCAAGACCGAGCCGCTCCAAAGCAGTTGAAAATAACTCCCCCCACAATGGTCTGTCAGATATGATGTTGTCTTTTGTTCTTGCTGGCACAAATTCTATCAGATCTTGACCCTGCAGTGCAAACTCTGTGACTTCGTGCAACGCCTCATGGATGACGTTCTTGTCGTCGACACTCTTTTTCATGAAGTCCAGAAGTTGATCCAGCAGAATATATTCCACACCATCTGCAACAATGACAGGAACATCTTGAAAGTCTTTTGGTGGTGTTTGTGTGATGTCCTTCATTCTGAACAACACCAAGATTTCTGCAGCACCACTCTTCAGCTCGTCCTTCGACCCATCAACCAGCATTCCCCCATTCCTTGCCACAGTGCCCAGGAACTTCTTGAAATCCGCAGGTGTATATGTCCCCCCTTTCTGCTGCATTGTCATGTCCATGTCTCCTTCTTCGTACATCCCTTCGCTGCAAATCCACTGGACCACTCCTTTTAGACTGTATGCACTGTCTTCCACATCGTTGTCCACACGTACATGTGGTGACTCTCTGAAGCGTTGCAAGAGTGTTCGTGCTTTGACACAGCCCTCGCCGTTTTCCATGATCGTGGATCTCATATCCACAGCGACTATGAAGTACCTCGGCACCCTGTCCTGAAGCAAAGACAACTCGCTGTCACCGTTGTAGTGCACGCCCTCCTTTGCATACTTCATTACCTCTGCAAGAGCAGCCTCCACCTGTGCTACTGACATCGACATGATGCGTACGGTTTATCTTTCGTCTTCTTCTCTCTGCCAGCGGAAACGCACAATGACGTCATCGACATGTGTGTGTGTGTGTGTGTGTGTGTGGCGTCTATGTATGAACCTATGTGGATGTCAGTGTGTCTTTGTGTATATGTCTATGGATGTGTGTGCATGAATGGTCTGTGCGTGTGTCTTCGTGTCTGTTCCCAAGTTGGCTACTGCTACCATTCGAAGTCGCAACGGTCATCATTCGTCAGTTTCTGGCACGCAGTAGCCAACTTTAAGGGTGCATGCCAGAATGTGTGTGTGTGTGTGTGTGTGTGTGTGTGTGGGGCGTCTATGTATGAACCTATGTAGATTTTTGTGTGTCTTTGTGTATATGTCTATGGATGTGTGTGTAAGAATGGTATGTGAGTGTGTCTGCGTGTTTGTTCCCAAGTTGGCTACTGCGTGCCATTCGAAGTCGCAATGGTAATCATTCGTCAGTTTCTGGCACGCGGTAGCCAACTTTGAGGGTGCATGCCAGAATGTGTGTGTGTGTGTGTGTGTGTCTTTCTGTATATGTCTGTGTGTGTGTGTGTGTATTTGTTATGCGTGTTTGCTTGTGCATGTGTTAGCGTGTCCGACTTCAGGTTGGCTACTGCGTGCCATTTGAAGTCACAACGGACCTGTGTGGTCTGTGTATGGCACGCAGTAGCCAACGTGAACGGTGCACGCCAGAATGTGTGTATGTGTCGGTGTATCTGTGTGTGTAATACTCTTCGCCCACAACAACCCTTGTTCGAGCCAGACGCGTACATACGTAGGAGAGAAATATGTAAATGGCAAAAGGTATAACTAGCAAAGGGCAGGAGGGAGATGGGGGGCGAGGTACGTACGTCGTTACGGTAGGAAAGAAAGAACGAGAAAGAAAGAGAAAGAAAGAAAGAGAAAGAAAGAGAAAGAAAGAGAAAGAAAGAGAAAGAAAGAGAAAGAAAGAAAGAAGGAAAGAAAGAAGGAAAGAAAAAAAAAAAAAAAAAAAAAAACATGTTAGACAAAGAAACAAAGAAAGAACGAAAGAGAAAGAAAGAGAAAGAAAGAAAGAGACAGACAGACACACAGACACACAGACAGACACACAGGCAGACAGACAGACAGACAGACAGACAGACAGATAAACAGACAAACAGACGGACAGACAGACATACAAACAGACTGCCTGCCTGACTGACTGACCAAACAAGGCGACAGACAGACAAACTGACAAACCGACAAACGGACAGACAGACAGACAAACAGACGGACAGACAGACAAACAGACAGACAGACAGACAGACAAACGGACAGACAGACAGACAGACAAATGCCATTGAACTTACAGACTTTGATTCTGGTTCATCCACTTACAGACCATACAGACGGACAGACGGACAGACAAACAGACAGACAAACAAACAAAGACACAGAAAGACACAGAAAGAAAGAAAGAAAGAAAGAAAGAAAGAAAGAAAGAAAGAAAGAGAGAGAGAAAGAAAGAAAGAGGGAAAGAAAGAAAGAGGGAAAGAAAGAAAGAGGGAAAAAAAGAAGCAAATGAAAAAAAAAAAAAAAATGTTAGACAAAGAAAGAAAGAAAGAACGAAATAAAGAAATAAAGAAAGAGACAGACAGACAAACAAACAGACAGACAGACAGACTAGGAGATAGACAAACAGAAAGACGGACAGACAGACAAACAGACAGACAGACAGATAGACAGACAGATTAGGAGACAGACAAACAGACAGACAGACAGACAGACAGACAGACAAACACATACAGACAGACAGACAGACGGACGGACGGACAGACAACCTTTGATTCTGGTTCATCCACTTACAGACCAGACAGACAGACAGACAGACAGACAGACAGACAAATAGACAGATAGATTAGGAGACAGACAGACAGACAGACAGACAGACAGACAGACGGACAGACAGACAGACGGACAGACAGACGGACAGACAGACACACACACACACACAAACAGACAGACAGACGGACAGACAGACTTCGATTGTGGTGCATCCACTTACAGACCAGACATACAGACAGACAGATAGACAGACAGACAGACAGACAGACAGACAGACAGACAGACAGACGGACAGACAGATACACACACACACACAAACAGACAGACAGACAGACTTCGATTGTGGTTCATCCACTTACAGACCAGACATACATACAGACAGACAGACAGACAGCCAGCCAGACAGACAGACAGACAGACAGACATACAAACAGACAGACAAACAAACAAACAAACAAACAAAGACACAGAAAGAAAGAAAGAAAGAAAGAAAGAAAGAAAGAAAAAAAGAAGGAAAGAAAGAAAGAAAGAGAGAAAGAAAGAAAGAAAGAAGGAAAGAAAGAAG